TTCACATTAAATTCCAGTGAAATATATTTATGTTTGTGGTTGTAATGTGACAAAATATGGAAAAGTTCAAGGGGTATGAATACTTTTGCAAACCACTGTATATAGATATTAGAAGGTTTGACATGTTAAACCTTAATAACTATGTCTAAAGTTACAGATAAATGTGAAAAAATGACCCATAATTATAGACAATGTGGAAATAAAAGTATCTGGTATTATTGAAGGCATAAAATCAGTTTAGTCCAAATAACACAGTCCCAAATACACCAACCTCACATATTGTGAGCTGGAGTCTGTCCTGGTTATTGCATGCAGTTTATGACACAAGTACACTTTAACATTTTAAAGTCAATCCTTTACCAAGTAATTTCCTCTTTACAACAACATCCACAACGGTTTACACTAATCATTGTGTTCCTAAAACCAAACTAAACAACAGCCAACAGTCATAATGTGTTTACCAATTTTCATGTCAATCTTTGGGAGCCTGAAGGTGCCAGACTGTTGCAACAAAACACAAATAAATCCATTAAAAAGACACAAAAAAGAGAAGTTATTAAAGTCAACTTCAGCTTCTGGGTTTCTCGTAACGTCAGCGGAAAAAATCGAGCTGTCGCCATTTAGTTTCCACAAGTTTTACTTTAGGAAGATTTTTGATGTCCAGAGTCAGGAGTTGGTGAACTCATGTCCAAACAGGTCTAAGAGCCATGGAGGCACGTTGGTTTACCAGCAAAGACGGGTTTCAGTCTATTGTTCTGTCTTCTCACTGCCGTAACAAAAAGAACACAAACAGGGATGTCGTGTGGAAGACTTCCCGCCACAAAGGGAAGTTTGTGCTGTTTCTTTATCAAAACTGTTCCTTCAAACAGAAAAAGAACACTTTAGAGAATGTCTACCTAAATGTATTTGAAGGGTTTTAAGTCTTTTGAAGGCATTTATTTAACTTTCTTGGTATGTTTGTCAGCAAATTTCATGAGGCAAAAAACAAACAAGCCCCAGCTTACAATTTACAGAAGAGTCTCCACAAAGTGCAAATCATGAGTTCAGTCAATCATTTGAGCAAAGAAGGTCAGAGGAGAAGGGATCGATGGGGTGGGAGGGGGTTCATTTAGGTAGAGGCAAAAACAAGAGATGGGAAGAAACAGCTTCCATCAGTGAAGGCAATACAAACAAATACAAGATTTCTTTTTAAATCAACAACGGGGCTCATTTTGGTGCAAAAAAATAGTTCATGATCGTTCTAAATTTTTTCAGCCATGTAAACTTCTAGCCATGAAACAAACTGTATAGTATTAGAAAAATTGACACACTCATTGTGAAAACACCAAGGATAGAAAAAAGGCAAAATACTGGTTAGTTTAGTCATACAAAACAAGTTTGGTCTCTCAGAGCCATTTCGTGGTTTAAAGTGAGACTAAGGTGCCTAATCAGGATTTATTCCACCTCAAACTCAAGTGGACAAAGTGCATTTTGAAGTTTAGTTTAGGTGCTTTAACATTTTATCTTTCAGTGCAGAATGGGTTCAGATTATAAACTGCTGTTAACCAGTGTCTCCTACAGCATGGGGCCGGACATGAATAAACTACAGGCTTCGTGTCAGTGACTGAACAGTCGGGTCAGAAAAGATCACTTATGGATCAATTTACTCTCAATCCACCCTGGATCTGCAGCAAAAGCATTGTTTGTTTCATTGATTTGGGAATCCACCTCACAGTGGTCATGATTTAGTTTACAGACGGATTCTTATTGTGGATCAGTGTTCAGGAGGCAACGTTTTGGCACAAGATTCCCGTTTGAATAAGATCAGAACAGAATGTTTTCCATGAAACAGGGAAACATTTAGTTTAAAAATATTCTGTGGCATTATTTCCAAGTGGTAAGTTAAAAATTCAATGAAAGAGGATAATTAAAAACTGTAATATTTAACAGCATTGTAACAATGGCATCAAACAGAATGAAGATACTTTTTTCTATCACATTTTTCCTCAAGCTAATTTGAGCCTAAAGCTACAGCAGTGATACATTCACTACCACCTCCTTATTTAGGTTATCTGTCAGGATTGGTGGGGTCACTTTCATAATTTCGGGATTTCATCCACGCTCAGCATTAATGTGAATAAATTACTCTCATGGATATGTTGCAGCAAACAAATAATAAAATATTTTATGTATAAAGACAATGATAAAGGTGTAAGATCTACTCAAATGAAACAAACGGGGTTAATATGAATTACCTTTCTAAAACTAAGTGGTTGATTTAAAAGCCACAGTTTTTACACCAGTTTTAGGCAGATAAATAATGTGGTCGGCTTTAAACGGATTAAGTTATGAACATAGTCACATTCAGCATTTTATAGTTGTGCACCTACTCAGCTGTTAGGGTGCTAAGGACGCAGGGCTGGGGTAAACAGGACTGAGCTGAAGGCTTGTTTACCATTTCTCAGTTTTAGGGACAGATTGAATCTAAAGTCTGACTTCAGTTCAACACGTAGGCCTGATCTGAGACCGGCTTAAAAAAATGACTAAGTTCATAATTCAGTGCCTCATAAAGATTTCAACTATTGTTAAAGACAAAATAAAAGTCACGATTCTGTTTTTGCTTTTACTTAAACCTTTAGAAATGTATGCTTTGTCTAAGACAAATCACTGATTATTATTATTATCATTAATCCTTAGTAGGGAATTGCTTTGGATTAAAACACAGACCTTTGCTGTATTTTTTTAATTAGTTATTGTTTAGCAAAGCTTTATAAGCTTTATAAAAGTTTGCATCTTTTTAAGATGTTCCTAACACTGTTGGAGAAGTGAACAGGCTAAAGCTAATCTTGTGTTTTAGAGTCACGTGGACTTGATTCAAACAGTAAGTGTTTGTGTAAAATCAGTGTAAAAACAAAGTCAAATAAGAAAAGACTCGGTTTAGCTCACGGTCTTACAGCAATGATCAGATTACTGTAACAGTGCATTTTCACTGTGGGGGGAGGGTCATGCTAGTCCTCCGAGACAGACAAACTTTTTCTGACGCTACGGGACGGCTCCCAGAGCTCGCTGTCGTCCGTTTCATCGCCGTCATCCTCGTCGTACTCTTCGTCGTCGTCTTCGTCTCCCAGACACGAGCCTGCTTGCTCCTTGGTAGCTGCTGACCTCTCGCCCTGCATCTCTCCTTTATCATCCTTTGTCGATTTGTTTCCTTCGGTTCTTCCCGCCTCCGGCTCCAGGAAGGGATCTGATCCCACCTTGAGACGTCGCTGGACTTCTGCAAACCACTCCCTCACCTTTAACAGACAAAAGACACACAGCTGAGTAGAGCGCTCGTCTTCTGTGGAGTGTTAAGATTTTAGAATTGTTCGATCATAACACAAATCTAAAACCAAAAACCCACAAGTTTATGGGAACAAACTTTTTAAAGTACATGTTCCCGTGTTTTTATCATTGTCACTACTTTATTTACCACCATCACAAAAACCATACTATTGTAGCTTCAAACAAAAACAGGTTGCAAACTTTTAATAAAAACATTTTTTTTCCAGTAGGGCTCCAGTGGAAAGTGGTGGTGCTTTAAAACTAAATGTTACTGGTACAGTTAACACCACAAGTGTACTGTAATAAACAAAACAAAGGTCTGAAGTTTACAACTATATTCAGAGTCAAAGAAAAGTGTACAGAGAACCAGATTACATGTTGGTATGGAGCCCATTTTCACCTGTTGTTACCTTTTATTTTTAGATTTGTTAATCCTCAGAAGGTTCTTTAACTTTATGACAAAAAAAAAAGCTTCTTGGGGGGAAATTCAACCTCCTTAACTGCTGAAAACTATTTAATAGTATTTTTGTCCATTATTAAATTGTTAATCTTTCAGAGCTATCTCAGCTGAAAATAGGCAAATTCTGATTCCTGATGTCAGATTCTGATAGTCTACTGTCTCAAAAACAAATCTCTTTTATTACTGCACAATTATTTATATTATATTATATTATATTATATTATATTATATTATATTATATTATATTATATTATATTATATTATATTATATTTTTTAATATTAGTAGTCGTATCATTCCTAGTCAGTGTTAATTTTGTTTTTTGTGTACTATCTATAGTTTGTAAAGTAACTAGCATGTGAACCTCTTTACGGAGTGACACCTGAATTTCCCCTTGGCGGGACAATAAAGGCTATATAAATTTCTATTCTCTATTCCAGTGTTTCCCAAAGTTGGGGTAGGGACCCAAAGTAGGGTCCCGAAACATCAAGGTGGGGTCCTGAAAAGATTTTCTGAATTAATTACATTTTGTCTTAGTTGTTACAAATGAGTGAGGTTAGTATATTTAAAATGGAGAAATGTAGTATAAAAAATATTGTTACTATGCCCCTGTTTTGTTGACCTGATACAAATGTTTATCATCCAAAAATAGTTGGGAGCTCAGGTCTCTGTTACTCTTATTTTGTGGGTCAAAAGCTGAAAAGTTTGGGAACCACTGCACTTTGGGTCCCAAAGTTGGGACCCAATTATGGGTCATGAAGCACCTTGGATAATCTCCAGAAATCAATTTAAAGGGTAATAAAATAATTGCTGATGTAATATTTTCCCTTTATTTATTACAAAAACACAAAATAAGTAAAAATAAGTATTTATATTTGTGTATAAGCTGTTTAGATCGTCAAAAAGCCTGTGTTTTTAGGGTTATTAACGAAGTTCGTGTACTCAGACCAGTAATATTTGGGGTCACAAGTTTTTGCCATGGATAGTTTGTGGGTCAGAAGACAAAAAGTTTGGGAACCACTGCTCTATTCTATTCTAAACCAAGAAAAAATATATATAAAATTTATTTGACTTTAGAAACTTCACCTTTAATTTAAAAAACGCCATAATTCAGTTCTTCAGAAATTGACCAAATATTTATTTTAAGACAATTAAAAAAAAGAAAAACAATGGAAGGGGAAAAAAAGCCCAATTTCATTTTGACATTTTCCTAGGCCCCGGGTTCTCCAGATCTGGCAGCTGAAAATGATGCCTTATATTCAGTCAAACTTGAACAACTTGGATTGGTGTTGACCATGGGGGTTTTTTGTTTCTCTTTATTGTTTTCATAATTAATAATTATTTTTCACAACACCAGTGTGTGTTTTGTTTTTTACTTTTACTAAAACAGTTTACTACTGAGCTGTGACAGTCCAATCCATATGCCAACGATGCCATATTTTCAGGCAGCCTGAATGCATGCAGCTCTGTTGTTTTGCACCAAATGTCTTCTTGTGCACAACAGAAATGGCCTTTTTTTGCTCTTTGAGAATGAACTAAAACAATTTTGTTGGATGAGATGAGATCAGGTTTGAGAGTAAATTGCCACAAAGGATGCACTTTGTCCATAAGGTTCCAGCCCCCTGAAGTAAAAAATAATGATATTACAGAAAGGAGCATTTTGTTTTTATATGACAAATATGGGAATTTTAATGGATTGCAATAGGTTTGAATTTTTCCCCTAAGGAGCAATAAAGGGCAATAACTACTGGGAGTTTACAGGAGCATTAGAAATATTTTTTACTTTGCCAGAATTATTTTCAAAGGACTTTTAGGCTTTGTCAGGAAGAATCGTAATTTTTGACAATACAAAAAAATTGAAAAATAAATAAAAAGCACAAATAAATAAATAAACAAATAAATAAATAAATAAATAAATAAATAAATAAATAAATAAAACATGTGACTGATTTTTCCCCATGAGATTTTTTAAGGGTTAAAAGGTTGGTCGACATGGACTAATTTTATGGAGTACAGGGACAAATGGAGACAATAAAAAGTACAGAAGAAAAAGGGGACCTTACTAAGACAAAGTGAATCCAAGGAACAAGATAAACACGCAGCTACACACTGACTAAAACCACCACCTACAGCCAGGTCTACAAACCGTTTGTCAGCAGAGTGGATGCACTTTGGATCGAAGGTCCATCCACAGACTACAAATACAAGGAGAGTGATGAACATTTCTGCAAAGACTCATTATTGAGCCGCTAATAAATAATTTGTGGTTGTGCCAAAATCTTGATTTTCTGACAGCCCTTTTGAGCCCACTGAAGTAAAACTATATTCAAAAAAGACAAGTGTCGAAAATTGTGGATACAATGAGATAAATTCTATGTAACAACCTTTTTTTATATAAAATTATTAAATGTTAAAGTCTAATAAGTTTAGTACCTGCTCGTAGCTCATGTTGGTTTTGGTGACGAGCTCATCCAGGTCTTGTTCATTGAGGAAGTGGTGCTTCAAGTAGTACTCCTTGAGGATTTCCCTCCCGGTCTTAAATTTTTTTGATGGTGGTGATCTGTTAACATCTGCGCCGGGAGAAGAGGAGGACCTCTTTGACTGCCTTTTGCTTTTGGAGCGCCCCCAGCCGCGGTTCCGACCTCGTCTTCTCCGACCTCCACTGCCGCCTCCCATTTTGTTGCCAGCCCCGCCGGTCGCTCTATTGATGTTGGCGCTTTGGTACTGGAAGAACCATTTCAGGTTTCCATTTTTCCAGGAGTACCGAGAGTCGCCGAACCAGCTGACGATGTAATGTCGAGGAAGGCCGGTCTCGTCTGACAGCTGATCGTACTCCTCTGGCGTGGGCCACTGCGTGCGCACAAAGGCACTTTTCAGAATGTGGAGCTGCTCTGGAGACTTTTTACTTTTTTCTTTTAGGTCTTTTTTCCTGCTGCCGGGAGGGGTCTGACTCTCCCTTCGAGACGAGGAGGCGGATGGAAGAGAGGTGGAAGCTCCTCCTGCTTCTTCTCCCTCTCCTGCTCGTCTGCTGTCCGTTTCCACTCTCCCTCCGTCAGAGGATTCGGGAGAGGAATCGTTCACAGCGGGAGTCTTTTTTCTCTCGGTGAACCAAGCGTCGATCTCCCTGCGCGTGAGTTTCGTCTCTGTCCTCAGGCGGCTCAGTTCTTCATCTGATGGACTGCTGCTCTTCTCGAAGCTCTCCTCCAGAACCACCAGCTGCTCGGGCGTCTTCTCTTTAAACTTCTGCGGGGTAAAGTCTGGGAAAGGGTTCCATGTTTTGGCCCGGGTCTCCTTGTCCTTCACAGGGGGGGTAAGTGGATGATGGGGAGAGGTGGGGGTCTCGTCACTCGAGTCAATAACAATGGGGATGTTTGCAGCACTGCCTGCGCCGCTCCCTCCTCTCCCCCCTCCGTTGTGGAAAACAATCACGTGGCTGTTTTTGGAGTTGCGCTGGTTGTAGCGGGTGTCACTGAACCATTTCTTGATCTCACCTTTAGTCAGGTTGGTGAGTTTCATCAGCCGAGCAATCTCTGCATCAGTGACAAAGTGGTTTTTCAGGTAGCTGGCTTTCAGCTCTGCCAACTGCTCTTTGGACTTCTTTGGCCGCATGCTGAATGCATCAACACTGAGGGCCGAGTTCTCCTTAGGAAGAGAGAGAGGAGACGTTATCTGTAACACTTTTCTGCCTCACCGTTTTAAACACTAAAGTTACACACAGACATGGGTCATCCTGTGCTGACTGAGAGAAATCAGAAACTTTGGGCCCCAACCTGTGGAGACAGAGAGGGAGGCTGGACTGTGGTGGCCCGCTTCAGTTCACTGTTTGCCAAAGTGGACTGACAGGAAACTTGGCTGGAGCTCTGAGACTGACACGGCAGCCCTGCCACGGTCAAGGTGATGGGACTGGTCACAGGAAGAATTCCTCCTGGACCAACCTACAGACAGACAAAATGTTGTGTTGTGTAAAGTGACTACTTCTTGTACTCTGATTTGGTTCAAAGGCATACAGCCTGAAGACAAAAGAAAAACAACAAACCACAAGCTAGGAAGGCAAAGCCACACACAAGATGTTCTTATTTCACCTACCTGAGTAAACACGAGACCAGGCTGGCCCACGATCTGACAGGTCTGCAGGATGGACTGCAGGCCGTTGGCAGCAGCTGACAGCTGGCGTGCAGGAATGACAGTGATGGTCTGAGGCACCGTATGCACGGTTCCATTAAACTGTTTCCTCCTGGCCTCCTCCACTTCCTCTGGAGTCCAACTGACACCGTGCTTCAGTCGCTGGGCTGAGAACCAGACCTGAGCGGGGAACACCTTTGACTTTAATCTTTTGTTAACATTTAGATAATAACGTAATAAAACAGAAGCACTCAGGAGAGCACGCACCTCTGACAAAACCCCATAACTGTGTGAGCTAAGTCTTTGACTGTAAATCCTTTTGTAAATTTTTGATATAGATGGTTTAATCTATATCAAAAATTTACAAAATGTTCCACTTTTTTGTTTTTATTAGAATCCCTGGTTTGCTCATCAGTTTGTGTGTTTGCTGAGTTTTGGAATTAGTGTTATGAAGGCTCAGAGCGTTGTGGGTTTGTTGTAGGTGGAGTCAGAGCAACATGAGGTCACCAACATGGAGGGTATGTTATGCAAACAAGAGTCTGTGATTGATGGAACAAAGTTCTACTGAACGCTGATTGGCTGCCACAGTATGATAATATCACTAAATCACTGTTTGATAAGAAGCAGCCTCTGTTCTGTTTTCTTCTTCTTCTCAGTACCAGATACAGCAAGAGGCAGCTCAGGCAGAACGCCACCAAAAACAGACAAACAAACAAACCAACAATACTGAAAACATAACCTCTTTGGTAAAGCTAATCAAGAAAGGGATCGTTAACCACAAACACACAGACAACGTCCTCTTCTGGTTTCTTTGTCCAGTTTGAACGCTGAAGCCAACTCCTCAGTAAGGAAAGTAGCCGTTCGATGACATCAAAGACAATACCATTACCTAATATGAATGTTTGGTTATTTGCATGTAATTAGGATTTAGGTTAGAGTAGAGTTGAAAATGTTTTTTTTTTGAAGAGACAACCCCTTATATCATTTTATAATAAGCACATTTTCTGTTAATCAAAATCTTTCATGTATTTCACTCACAGATCTCCTGTGTGCTTAGGTTTGCTCAAAGTATATCCAATTTGTGAGTTAACATAAAAAGCGGCCTCTATGTCTTGATGATGACTACAATCCACTGACACTGATCCTGGACCCTGAAACTAAAATCCCAAAGATAAAAGAACATCTCGGCTCTTTGAGTTCAACTGTTAAGCAGAATGTGCGCAACCTGGGAGTAAATCTTGACTCAGATTTGTCACTAGATAAACACATAAAGAACATGGTTTCCACTTGCTATTTTCAGCACCGTAATATCTCTAAACTCCGGCCCCTGCTGTCTACTTCAGATTTGGAAATGGTAATTCATGTCTTCATTTCTGCCCGCTTAGACTATTGTAACAGCTTGTTCACCTGTCTTAACCAGAAACAGTTAAATCGTCTTCAGCTTGTCCAAAACTCGGCTGCAAGACTCCTAACTCAAACCTCCAAATTCACCCACATCTCCCCGATCCGAGCAGAACTTCACTGGCTTCTGGTTCAATTCAGAATCTGGTTAAAAATCCTGGTCCTCACCTTCAGAGCTCGTCATGGCCAAGCACCTGAATATATTAAAAGTCTCATTTCCCCTTACAACCCCAGACGGGACGTCTGCTCACAGGATCAACATCTCCTTATGGTTCCCCTCACTCGCTTTAAGACTCGTGGTGACCGTGCCTTCTCCTCTGTGGCCCCCAGGCTCTGGAATGAACTCCCTGTTAATCTGCGCTCCATTGATAACATTGTCTCTTTCAAGACACTCCTAAAAACTCAATTTTTCTCTCAAGCGTTTAGCTAACCATTCACCATTACTGCCGGCCTACCTCCATTGTGAATGCTTCACTAATCTGTGTTTTTTTGTTATTGAACTTACACCATATTTTTCTCTCCCGCATTCATAATGTTTTTGTGTATTATTGTATATTTTGCCCTGCATTGAACTTGTGTTTTGAGTTACAATTTTAGAAATTAATTCTTGATTTAATGTTTCAATTTTCGTTGCTTATGTGTAATTATGGTTTTCTGTTTCATTTTATTCTTTCCACCATTTCTATACTGTTAATGATTGTACAGCACCTTGTGAATATATTTCTGTGAAAGGCGCTTTATAAATAAAACTTTGCTTGCTTGCTTGCTAGCTTYCTTGCTTGCTTACTTTTACAATCAGCGGTGGGCACAGATTAGCTACACAATCAGTTTCAGTCAGTTTTTAAACTTCAACACAGACATCAAACCAAACCTAAATCAAAACAAACCTAATTTAACACAAATCAAAATCCTTCACAGATAAAAGTGCCTATATCTCTTTTAGAAGTGAAATTTGAGAAAATAAACAATACTAACTACACCACAGTAAACAAATGGAAGCTAACGTTAGCTTGTTGTTGCTTGGTAACTTGCAACAGTTGTAACTTGTGTGAAAACACGTCACAGTTGTTGCAAACAACTGAAGTAAAGTTAGTCTCATCAGTGTGGCGTGACCCTCCGGGCCAGTGAACCAATCAATGGGCAACAGTAGCTAACATCAAATAGGGCCGAGCAGCCTGGCCCGAATAGAACCACAGCTCTCAGTGTTCCAGAAATCAGGGTGAAACTGGGTCATAAGGGCTAATGTGTGGAGCCAGAAGAGTCTCAATATTCCATACTAATGCAAACACACTAAAGCCAAGTTTTAACCCAGGCCGGGACTTGCAGTGCAAAAAGGCCATAGAAGAAAGTGTGGCAACAATATTGAGAACCACAAGAATTCTGAGACGGCACACCTTCGCCAAGACCCTAGGTTCTGAAAATGAGAAAGTTTATGAATGAATGATTGATTTTATTTGGTCACATAAAAGAACACTTCACACAAAAACAAACAAAACTTTAACCCTATACGACCAAAAAGGTAGAGGCAGAAGCCAACGGCTTATTGTGTCTCCCTGAAACACAAAATACACACGTTTCAACTACATCCTTGCTATGTGCACCACTTTATATACAAAAACATACAAATCATTGTCATTTTTTTAATCAACAATATCATTATTCTTGTCAGTGCAGCTGATGAGCAGTGACTGGTGGAACAAAGTTCTGCTGGATGCTGACTGACTGTCACAGTATGACATCATCACAAAGAAGCAGCCTCTGGCTCCTTTTAGTTTCTGTTTGTGCCAGTTCACCACCGAGACTTTATAATCTGTGACAACCCTAACGTGCTGTGAGAATTTCATGACAATCCGTTCATAGCTTTTTGAGTAATCTTGCGCACAGACGGAAAAACAAACAAACCCACGCTACCAAAACCAGAACCTCCTGGCGGAGATAATAGTGAAAATGTTTTTACCTTGATCTGCTCCTCTGTGAACTGTGTCTGCGCCGCCAGGCTGCTGATTTCTGCCGTGGACGGGTAAGGAAACTTCCTGTAGGTGCTGCTCAGGAGAGGATTGGTGTCCATCGCTGCGCTGTAGGAGGGGATGCTGCTGAGGGGGATCAGAAGCTGTGGCTGAGCTGTTGCTGTGTTCTGCTGGGCCTGAAAGGCAGAAAGCACCTGGAACACCAAAGTACAGAGACGTGAAAAACTGCGGCTGCTGAGGAGTTAGCTACAAAGGTGAGCACAGTAATGGGCTTGATTAAGTGTTACTGCCCACTGACTTGTTCTTAAAGGGATCCACAATTAGTTGTAACATTAAACTTTATTTGATAAACATTTATTTTAACTGTAAAATAAAGACTGTAAAAATACTGTAGGCTGTTTGGTTTTGTAATTTTTTTAAAATATGTTTTAACACGGATGGAGCCATTTTATTTACATGCAAAGCATTCTGGGTAAATGACGACATCAACTAGGTCCTCGGTGCAAGGCTGCTAGCGAGCTGTATCCACCCTGAAGGTTAATCTTGGACAATATCTGATGATCGACTCTTTTAAATGAAACCAGAGAGCGTTGACAGAGAGGAGAAAGTAGAAATGACTCAGCCTGTAACTGAAAATATGGATGGAGGACAACAGAGCTGCTTCATGGAAGAAGAACCTCAGCTTAGCCTGTTAGCCCTCACGCTATATTGCCTTATATGTATTAGCTCGGCGCTAGCGCGACAAACAAGCTAAACTGAGGTCCTCCATCCATATTTTCAGTTGTAGACTGAGTCATTTCTACCTTCTCCTCTCTGTCAACGCTCTCTGGTTTCATTTAAAAGAGTCGATCGTCAGATATTGTCCAAGATTAACCTTCAGGGTGGATATAGCTCGCTAGCAGCCTCATGCCGATGACCTAGTTGATGTCATCATTTACCCAGAATGCTTTGTGTGTAAATAAAATTGCCCCGTCCGTGTAATATATTTTTAAACTTTTAGTTTAAAAATTATAAAAACTGAACGTCCTACAGTATTTTTACAGTTAAAATACATGTTTATTAAATAAAGTCTAATGTTACAACTAATCGGGGATCCCTTTAAACATGACACTTTACATTCATCAGCTAATATTTACTTAAATCACGGTAGTTTTATTCTCCAAAGTCACTTAGCGGGATTAAGTTCGACAGGCTGCTCTTTAGTTTGAAATCACTTTTACACACAAGTTTTAACATTATGTTTCTCTATAGGAACATGTATTACATGATAAGTAGTAGCTCTTTACCTGTGCCAGACCAGCAGGCAGGACTGTTGGGTTAAAAACCGATGCTTTTCGCTGTGGTTCTGATGGGGAGCCGACCAGGATACCACCCCCACCAAACTTCATGGAGTCATGCAGCAACATCTCCACAGGTGTCATGGGTCCTAGAGGGGCTTCAATGGGCTCCTGCTCTCCATCCGGCTCACCCTTACCTCCTCCTCCTCCTCCTCCCAAACCCTCCCCCGCTTCATCGGCTGACTTCAGGGACACCGCGATTCTCTTGGGTTCAGGTTTGGCCTTCATCCTCATGATGGGAGTCTTGCTGAGAGAGATGGCCAAAGCCGCAGCAGGGTCCAACCCTTCCTCCCCGGGCGGATCACTTTGTAGTTCCTGGTTCGGCTGATCCTCAGACAGATCTTTAGCAACGCACTTCAGCGAGGAGCCGACGATTTGGCCGTCTTCACTAGCAGAGACGCTGCCTTCATCTACAGTGTTGATATCAACAGGTCGGGCACGTTTGAGATTTACTGTGACAATGAAAATAAATCAGACACGCAAAGAGAAAGTCGATGTCAGCGTTGGAGTTTTACCTGCATCTGGTGGTGTAGGAACGACTACAACAGCCTGATGGAGCTCCTCTGGAGTCTGCGCCTCCTCTGTTCCATCCTTCACCGTCCTCTCGTCGCCTGCCTCTTCATCTTTTGTCCTCTCAGGGTAGTCTTCTACAACTTCCTGCTCCACCAGATCAGAAGGCAGTACCATGCAGGGGGTGGTGGATTTCCGGCGGCTCGACATTTCGAAACCAAACTCGCTTTTGGTTATTGATGAAGAAGATCTATAGAAGAACTGCTGACATGCTGCAGGTGATGGAGCTCTTGTAAGAGTCTTTGTTTTTCTGATGGAAAAAAAAAACATGAAAAATACACAAAATAAATCATTCACGTAATTATCTTACTGAGGTTCAAAAATTAAGATTAAATTCACAACTGTTTTAATTTTCTACCAGAGATAGAAAATGTATCAATCATTAAGCTGAAATAGTCTGTGCATCAGCTGATCAAAAATTTAAGACCAGAGCATTTAAACCCCCAAATCTTCACAAAATGTGGATTCAGTGTCATTTTTCTCCTGCTTTGAACTGGCAAGTGCTTTCCTCTATACTGTTGCATGCTGGGAGAGCAGAGGGTGAGGGTGGCTGATGCCAACAGACTCAACTAACTTCCCCATGATTAAAATAATAAAGTGATGTTTCATTTGAAAGAATAAAGAGAATACCTACATCTTAAACCATAAAATCAGAATTAGTGTTTCAGCCAATAACAGAATGCTCCTTGAGGAGGAACAGCTTGAACGTCCATCATCTATCATCTTCCACTTATTTTGAGTCGCATCACGGGAGCAGCAGCCTGAGCAGGGAGCCCCAGACCTCTCTATCCCCAGCCACCTCTTCCGGGAGGACTCCAAAGAGTCCCCGAGCCAGTTTAGAGACGTAGTCTCTCCAGCATGTCCTGGGTCTTCCTCAGGGTCTCCTCCCAGTTGGACTGGTTGTGGAGGAGCAGCAGCTCTACTCTGAGCCTCTCCCGGAGAAAGAAACATCTCACCCTGTCTCTAAGAGATAGTCCAGCTACCCTGCAGAGAAAACTCATTTTGACCACTTGTATCTGCGATCTTTTCTTTTGGTCACTCACTATCCAAAGTTCATGACTACAGCACCCTGAGCACCCACCACAGGGAACACTTAGGGAACATTTAGGTGCGATTTAGTTGACCTAACAATGACCAAAAAATGTATAGATATAAAAATAAAATAAAAAGCTAATGGAAGTGTAACATACTGATGTGTTACACTATACATGTTGTATAATGAGTTGGTAATATGGACACTCCTCTACTGGCTCCTAGTTATGGCAGTGAACTAACAGGACACATGTTTATTGCAGCACATGTCACAATAACATTGTATTTATCCTTTTGTCAAGGCTGTGTAGGAACATATCAAATAAAATTAGCATGTTCATTGATGGAGCGGCCCTTTAACACCTTTGCAAAAAAATAAATACCTAACAGAAGATGTTTTGACAAGTAAAAAAAACATAAAAATCTGTTTAACATACACAGTAAAATCTCTAGCATACAGTCTAAAGCAGTGGTTCCCAAACTTTTTATCTTCTGACCCACAAAATATCCATGGCAAAAACTTGTGACCCCAAATATTACTGGTCTGAGTACACGAACTTCGTTAATAACCCTAAAAACACAGGCTTTTTGACAGTCTGAACAGCTTGTACATAAATATAAATACTTATTTTTACTTATTTTGTGTTTTTGTAATAATTGTAGGAAAAATATTACATTGGCAATTATTTTATTACCCTTTAAATTGATTTCTGGAGATTATCCAAGGTGCTTCACGACCCATAATTGGTTCCCAAAGTTGAGCTTGGGACCCAAAGTGCAGTGGTTCCCAAACCTTTCAGCTTTTGACCCACAAAATAACAGTAGCAGAGACCTGTTCCCCCAACTGTTTTTGGATGATAAACATTTGTATCAGGTCAACAAAACATGGGCATCGTAACAATATTTTTATACTATATTTATCCATTTTAAATATACTAACATCACTCGTTTGTAACAACTAAGGCAAAAAATGTAATTAATCCAGAGAATCTTTTCAGGACCCCACCTTGATGTTTTGGGACCCCATTTTGGGAAACAGTGAAAACTACAACACTAACACATTTATGGCACATGACTGCTCCTCACATTGGACAGTGGGAAATCTATAGGATTATATAAGAAAACTTAAAGATTACATAACATTAACACAATTACCAAAGAAATGCCAGAATATAACCTATATCTGAGTTGTTAATAACAAACACAGACTTGTCTTTGCCTTACAGATAACAAACAGCACAGGTGAACGTGATCACTTCTACTCTGTGCACATTATTTACAGTGTAAATAAACACTGGTGTGCACAGAACAGAACTGTTTTCACATGTCTCAGTGTAAATCTTACACTGAGACATGTGAAAATAATCACCAGTACGTAAAGATTTCGTTAAACTTCTTATAGTAAATTCTGTCATTTTTCTGTACTGGTTCCCACTGCTCTGCCATTGTGAGACCATCTGAATAAACAGCCACTCCACATAATATGATGGAGGTAGCCAGCCATTTTGTTAAAGCAGGCAATGATATGGGAATTAGTGATTAAGCTCGGCAGAAACTTGATAAGGGTAGCTAACCAGCTTTAGCCCGGCGGGTCATGTTCCCCCGTAAGGAAGACAACTTAAACAGAAATGTGCTGTCTGTGTCGCTACCAGGTGACGGAGACGAGGCGCTGAGGGTTTCTCTCTGGTGGCCGGCGGCACAGCCTCCAGGCTCTCTCTCTCTGGTGGCGGGATCTGTCGCTCCTTTCTCGGGCTAACGATTGAGCTGCAGCCCGGCGGGGCGGCAGCAGAGTCTACCGGCGGACAGACCGGTCGGACGGCTGTGGCTGTCGGTTGCCGATGCTGGAAAAACACCGGACATCTCTGTGAGAGCAGGCCATTTACTTCTAGAAGCGTGTCTCCATAAACCTTCAAACATTTAAAAATCTCTTGGTTGTAGCAGAACCGTCGGTGCTGAGCTTCTTTTTTTAAATATTATTCAATTCTGATATTCTTCGATTTTTTAAATCATCAAACTGCGTCATTATTTCTTGTAATATTACGTCATCCCCCGGCGACTTTCCACATAATTCAGAACATTTAATCCTAACAAGCGATTTTACTTTTATACTGATGTAAACTGAGATTCCTGTTCAGTATTTTTAAGTATTTGCCCATAAAGATGCAATGTTGAAAATTTAGCTCATGGGTCGTAAAGTAGTTCGGTTCCGATCTGGCTTTGTGCCATGATGTCCTCAGGTGACCCGCGGAGGGAGCGAGAAGCTACTTCAGGACACGCTGCTGGTTCAGACAAGGTGATCCGCAAAACTGCAGCTGTTCACCGCTGGACCGGTTCTTAAACAGTTCTCATCTGGGTTCTGTGGTTTTAAAAAAGGAAAAATAAATAAATTAAATAAAACCAACTAGTAGTTAGTTGGTATTTGCGTATATTTCATAGGTTCAAAGCCATAATAAACATTTCAAAGAATTTATTTATAAAGACAAGGATTTACTGCTTTCTAATACAATATATACAAAATCGCTTACGAGTTTGAACAATTATTTAACAATGTAGAAATTGTTAGAAGCAAAAATTAAAAAAAAAAAAAAACAAAAAGAAAGCATTTTGATATGTTATTTTAAAACACATTAAAAAATACATGATCCAACATTATGGTAAGAGGAGTTTGTAAATTTATGAATTAAAAAAAAAAACTATTTCATTTGTTTCCACACTTTCTTCAAAGCCAAGTTCTAGCATTTTTAAAGCTCGTCTTAAAAATGATAATACTAATCTAAAAATAAATCTTAAGCAACATCGTTTCAAAAACAAATGTCACTTTTGATTAACAAAGTTTTTGTCAAGAATTCAAGGACCTTTGCATTAACATAAAGCATATTCAAAAACAAAACAAACAGATGCCATAGTTAAAAATAAGAGGTAAAAAGGTTAAATGTCATCAATCCTGCTTCCTCTGTTAGAAAACAATCATTTACTTTTTAGGGCTACACCAGAATTTAACGTAAATATACTTTTTCATTTAAATGTTACTTAAGACATTGAAGTGGACTTGTGGATCAGAATATATACGGTATATAAAGATTATAACTAAACAACGTGACATATTCCTTTAAACAAACATTTTGTAATTAGACCATTTTAGTCAGTCTGAAATCAAAATGCAAGCACACAATGATAATTAGAGAAGACATTTAATTACAAATACAAAAGTTTATGGTGAAGCACAAAAATAAAAGACTATATTTTTAAAGAACAATCAGTGTTTATATATTCAAACAACTGAACAGGCGAATAATGAAAATAGATTTGAAGACGATCAGGTTTTTCTGAAGAGAAGTCAGAGAAAACAGAAGTTTTTAATCTCCTGTTCCAAGTCCTACAAAAAACAACAACAAACCATTAGAATACAGTAACATAAATCTGATATTACCTTATTAAACAGTACAGAAAATCTAAAACTCAGATGTTGTGCATCAGCTTTTATCAGAGATCCTGCAGCTACACTGACTTCTGTTCTTTAAAAAATCAGAACTAATCAATAGAAATCTCTTACTAACCTGTATTAGTGCTGTTTTGTTGTAGTCTCGCCTGTGTCTGTAGATGTTCTGACAGAGCAGAGCATACAGTTTCTCCAGCTTGTGAACCTCGTAGCCTTCAGTCTGTGCCACTATTTTGTCCAGAAGCTCCTAGAAACAAGGAGTTTAGTTCCGTTTGGAGAAAATATCAGGAATAGTGGGAAAAAAATGACCCTCCCTCCAAATATAAAAACCACACACCTTTAATCTGTTTCTGTCCACAACCAGAGGAGGTGTTTCCTCGTTCAGGATCTGCAGAGCTTCGTCTGAATCAACCGTCTGCTGCTGCAGAACCGTGCTCTTCACGGCTCGAGTCATTGGCCTCATGTGCTCTGAGACGAAACAAACACAGCAAGTCTGCTGACATACTGACTCAGGTTTATCCTCTGAAACCCTAAGAACTATTAACTGAAGTATTTAATATCCAACCTGTTCCTGTTTCCATTTCTGCAGTGGTGTCAGCAGCTTCAGTCTCCATCGGCTCAGCGGGACTCGTCAGCTCTGCAGAATCTACTGGAGCTGCTTCTTCAGACCGGCCCTTTAAGGTCTGAGAGTCTGATTGAGTTTCAGTGACAAATTGTTCGTTGGTAGAGTGATGTGTATCCGTCTCTGCACAACCCTTTTTATTCGTGTTAACTGAGATATTTTCATCATTCACATCGCTCTTATTTTCACTCTGCTCTGTCTGTTTCACAACTTCATCCTCTGTACTTTCCACCTGAATGTCCTCTTCAGCAGCTGGTTTCCTCTCTTCTTCCTCTGTATTTTTGTCCTGACTCCTGTCTCCTCCCTGAACTGCTACAGGTTCTGGCTCTTTTCCATCGTCCAGCTGATTCTCATTAGCTCTACTGGCATCAGGACTCTCCACTGCTCCTTCCTTCTCAACCTCACCCTCATTATCTCCATCATCTTCATCCTCATCAGAAACAAACTGTGAATCATCTCTGGGCACCCGAGGTGAAGAGTAAGCCTTTTTCTTTGGAATGTAGCCAGTAGACCAACGACTTTTTCTACGTTTCTTCTTGTGGGCTGAAAGGACAGAAGATGCTTGGTTTTAGTCTTTTAATTGAAAAACAGAGAAAGTTGTCTCTGCAGCTGAACTGACTTTACCTGTGAGTTTAGGTGTTGTGACAGCAGACACACTTGTGCTGGTAGCAACCACAGCTGTGGATTCAGCTTTGTGACTTTGTGGGGCAGTGTTGGTGCTATTGTCTGTGGGAAGTTTGGGCTGTTTGGGAAGGACGTGGTAGAAGGTCGGAGTAAACTGTGCGGTGGAACAACCTAAGTTCAACAAATAAACAAATTATTCTAAAAGCATTTTTATCATTTGTATGTGGTTGTTTTAAAGCGCCTGTGACATGCCTATCCTTCAGCAGTGTTCCTACAGTTTAAGGCAAGTTAAATTTAAGACCTTTTTAATGCCAAGTGAAATTAAATTTAAGACCAATTTCCTAATAAACACAGATGACAAACAAAAAAATAACTAGCAGAAACTCATAAACCAAGGTTTTTTTGTTTAAGTATTAAAATATTGCTGATAGACCAATTGTTTTATCCATATATAACTATAGCAGAAACATTCTTAGCAGTCAGTTTTAAACTTAATTTAATTTCTGGAAATCCTCTAACGACCCAAATGCTGTAGATGAAACCTTACACCAATGTTTTGTAAGAAAAGTGAATGCCTTTTTGGAAAGACAACATTAAATTTCACGTTGCTCAGATGAACAGTTGTTGAGATATTTGCATGTGAAATAACAGGAAGTGATGTCAAAGGGGAATGTCTGCATGTGAATGTTTAAAAAATACTTTTACCAATTATTTTAACATTTGAAATGAATTACAATCATCCTATGTACAATGTGTTAACATTTTTAAGACTTCTGGAGGATTAATTTAAGACATTTTAAGGCTAAATAAGGCCTTATTTTTAGATTGATGAATTAATGCCTTTTAAGACTTTTTAAGGATCTGCAGGAACCCTGTTCAGATACAAAAAAGTCAAAGAAAACTTTGTTCTATTTAAGAAACCTGGCATACCACACATTTTACCCATTTGGACACATAACTGACCTATTTTCTTTTAAACTTGGCAAAATGGAAACAGGAAGTGACATCAAAGGGGAACTCCTTTAAGAAAAATAACTCACTGGTCTTTATTGAAACATTATGAGTTGAACTCTGTCTCGTTTTTATGTTTCTGTCTGATAACAACTCAAAATTATCTAAAAACAGATTCCTCTCCACAGTCTGGGCTGTTCAGCATTTTAGCTTAGCTCTGTTGTCATGCAGACATTCCCCTTTGACATCACTTCCTGTTTCTTCACATGCAACTATCTCAACAACTGTTCATCTCAGCAGCCTGAAAATTATTTTGTAAAATGTTCTCAGTGGTATCTTTCCAAAAATGCATTTGCATTATTACAAAAATTTTGATGTCACAGGCACTTTAACCTGCACAACACATTTATGCAATTTCTTAATAAACTGTTACCATACTGTGAGGTAACTATGGTCATAATTGTAAATCAATAAAAAATATAAAAATAATAAATCTAATGTGAAAAATAAAGATTTACGAAAACAGAAACAAAGCTTAAACCTTTAAAATATAATCCTTTTAAGTGACAAAGTTATTTTAAGGTAGAAAGCCATCAGCCTGACAAAAATAAGCGTGAATTTTAAGTTATTTTGTGCAAAGAACAGCACAAAATTATGCTATAATTGAAAGAATGTAGCATTTCAAAAATAATAAAGTTGTATAAATGCAAAAACAGTCAGTTCACTTAAACATAAAGCAACAGCATAAAGCAGGCCTGCTCCGCAGTTCTGCCATTTTGAACTTTAACTCAGTTTACTGCCACTCAGCAGCTTGGAATGTCCAAGCAGTCCACAACTTGTCTAAATGAGAAGATTTGTATAAATTGAAATCAAGTCGAATCATGAAATGCTTAAAGTCTCCCACCCCTGATGATAAGCAGTTTAATATTAACAAAACCTAACTCAGAACAATAGACAAGGCAATTTCAAAGAAAACACAAACATTAACCTCTTGTCTTTCGTGACTCTTTGATCTCTTCACAAATCTTCTCAAAATCTTCATCCAGTTCTTCTCGGATGATGGCGTGGACAGTGTCCTTCAACGCACACGCTCGGTGGCGAATCTGACGATCTGGAGCAAACATAACCATTGTATCATTTCACACTTAAACTGAGAGGGAAAAATAATAAAACCATGCACAAAACTCAAACAAACTGTGTGTGTGTGGTACCTGAAGGGTCCCTATCTGGGTTGTATTCAAGAGCATTCTGCCAGATGAGATCCACATCCTGGAGAAACTCTTTGACCGTTGCGTACTGATGGAGGTCTATCCTAGACATAACTGTCGACAGGTCCATTGGCTTCTTGATTACTTCAGCATAATCTGGAACCTACAAACATATGTTGCAAGCATAGAGAGGACAATTAACACTCAAGACTGTTATTACAAGTATGGCTTAATTTATTTTTACATTTGAAAACACCATATCTGCATGACAAAACTCATTTAACAGCTATATCAAGACACTAGCTGCAGCACTGCCCTACAAGTCTGAGTCAGAAACAAGAAAAAAGGCATTCAGTGCTTTACACGGTTTCAGTTTAAACACCTGAGCTTTAAGTAAATGTGATAAAAAGCACAATAAACAGCTACCTCCTCCAAATCCACAGGCTTTGTGAAAGCCTTAAAGCGTTTATCTTGAGAGAGGCGGTTTGTGACGTCACGCAGGAAGAGACGAAGCTCTCTGAGCGTATCTTCCTCTTGGTCGGCCAAACGTCGACACTCCTCTTCTGTTAGCTGACGTGGCGGGGGTGGAGGGGCAACTGGAAGCACCTCTGATGCATGAAGAGCTGAAAATTATGGAGAGGGCAGAACGAATCAGAGAAAGAGAAATTATTAATGTTAAGCTGCAGAAATAACCACATGTATATTAAAATAGTTCCATTTTGTCTGAGATGAGAAATATTGAACTATACCACCAATTAAGCTTCATTACATTCAAATTATCCAATTTATTACATTTTGCACAGTCTGCACTGTGGAGGAAAATAGGTTTGATACTGGTTCCAAGAATATTTTATGGTTTGGTACATGATTAAAATGATCATGTGTATTATGTTGTCAAAATAATTAACTTTAATATTTGTGAATCTTAATATGTCATGGCTACTGACATGTAATACTGTTCCATTTTGATTACAGATTGTACAGTCAATTTTTATGACTCTTGTGTAACTTTGATCTTGTCAAACTTGGGTCATGAAGCCTGTTATTTGATTGGCTGTGGGATTCGTACATGCTCTGATCATGAATGCTTTCTGAAAGCTGATTGGCTCATGGGTCAAATGTGCAGGAATCACTGGAGATCTGAGATACTGAGCTTTTGAGCAAGAGTTTCACTCATCCTCCTTATCACCATCACTTTGCCCCCAGAAACAAACCCTAACTGAGCTGTTTTAATGGTATCTTCTGTCTGGTCCAGTTGTCATTAAACTGGAAGAAAACTAAACAAACCAAAGGAAAAAAAAAGCTAAGAATGTCTTTTTGATATCTCTTAAAGTGGGCTTTATTTGACCTCAGTTAACTCCATTCTTACCAGCTTTCTTCTTTGAAGTGGGGGCTTTTGCAGCCTGATTGAGGATAAGATCCTCAAAGAAGTCCCTCCTCTCTTGGCTGGTGGGGACCGGGGCATGAAAGACCTCTCCATATTCAACCCGAAACAAGTCCTGCACCTGAGAACAAGAAGATGAAAGAGATAGTCTTATGAAAAGAACAGATCCACGTCAGTCATTTTAGATTCAACACAATTCAAATGTTCGTTTTAACATAAAACTCAAATGTTACGCTTGTCGGTGCCTACAATAGTTTTAGATGCAGTGTGGTGATGTGCCGTACCTCCATACTCAGGTGGTCATAATGTATGCTGCAGGTAGCTAGCAGCAGTATAGGAGAGAAGGGAGGTATGGAGCTCAGGAGGCTTAGGAAGGTTGCTCTGAGTGCAGGACCCACAGTTTCCCACCACTGTCCGATATGTGGAATGTACAAGATACTCGGAGAGGTTCGTTTGGCTTCGACAAAAATCTACCAAACAAAACAAACCAGATGGACATTTATGATACTACTCATTACAATGGCTGACATCAAATCTAGAAAGACTAAAGACTTTTCTTTACCAGAACCTTCAAGTGGAACAAATGGAAGAACATAAAATAGATTATTGAATTAAACAAAGCAAAAACAAGGTAGAAAAGTAAGGTAAACTGCTCTTGGGACAATCAGTCAATAGATTAATGATGTAATAATAGTTATTTAGGTTTTAAAAGAAAAAAATCTATTTTTTAACTTTCATACAATAATTTCTTTCTGTTTCAGAATAGCCTTTATGTGTTTTACTGCTTGCAATTAATGCAAGAACATTTTCTGGAATTAGCTGAAATATTAATAATTATCTGCTGTTTAAGCATAAACGTAAAAAAGATTATTCCCCTAAAGTTCAGTGTTCATTTACACCAAGTTCCAACATTAAATGAGTTTGTCTTTAGTACATATTTATCCCCATCTCCCACAACATAAAGAGATGGGGCCCTTGAACTACAGTTAATGTAGCAGCCATTATGGCCAGTGAGCTCCATGAGAAAGATCCCATTGAATTTGACAAGACTGCAAAAATAACTCCTGACTTAACTCAATGCCTCTGTTTATAGTAATAGATTAAATGTGAACAGTTATTAAGTATCTACAGTACTTTCAGAGTTCAAAGTATCTCTGTCACCTGGGCACAGGCTTCTTCTGGTGCTGTTGCACTGACTCCAAACAGGACAGCCAGATCTAGAGTGTAAACAGTGAATTTCTCCAGAGCGTGAAGAACAGCTGGACCCAGATGGGAGGTCTGACCTGAGCCGGGTCTGCCCTCCAGGAGGAGCCGGGGACGATAGGATGTCGGCTGGCTCAACACACTCCTACACAGGAGATGAAAAACACACTTGAACAGCAGCAAGAATTTACTTTCAGTGAACCTTCAGAAATCTAATTTATTCACCTAAATGATATTAATTAAGAGTTTGAGCTCGGATACAAGATTAGCAAATAAAGATGATGAATAAAATGAGTATGAAGCCGTTTAAAAAAAATAGAATCCTAAAAAAGCTGAACAGTTTGTTCCAATATAATCTAAAATTTAAATATATTTAATACAACATTTGTAACTAATGGATGCTTTCATTTTATTATCTGAGGGACAGGTCTACCTGTTGACGTTTAGAAGGCTGAGAGCAGAAGGTATTTTCAGCTGTGTCTGAGAGTCCAGTCCACCGGAGGAGACTGCAGCATCCTCTTCCTCACTGAACATCAGTTCATCCTCAGACCCTCCCCAGGACACATCTAAAACAACCACATACAGTAAGAGCAACTTATGTGCGACAAATACAGGATATCTGCAGGCTTTAGCAGGTCAAATTGAAGACTTTTTAATGCCACCTTGTATTAAATTAATGACCAAAAAACAACTATAAATTTAGGTGATGGTTGGGGGATTCTGCTGTTTAACAACCAAGCATCACATGTGTGTCACTTAATGAAACAATGAATATAAAGATATGCAGTTCTCTGGATCAATTAACTGTCCTGTACAAGTGCAGATATTTAGTTAAACATCCAACAAAAAAGACATCTACTAAATACTTTCATGGCATGAAGCTTAACAGGTGTTTTAACCTCCGGTTTCATGCACACAAAAAGTGGTACAAACTTTACCTTGTTGTCTTTTTCTGTTTAATCCCTGCTCCGCATGAGGAAAAACCTGACGGACTCTTTGGAGAATGCTCTGTAAAGTGGCGTTCAGCAGAGGACGAATGGCAGGTAACAAAGCTTTAGCTGGTGACACTACAGCCCTAAAAACATTAAATGAGTTGAATCAGTAATATGCTTATCAGAATCATGAAAAAGGATGATAATAAAAGTTTACTAAGAGCTTCTCTACCTTTGGGCAGCTGGCACCATCTTAGACATGGCGAACAAGAAGTCTTTGTGAGTGATGATGATGGAGTTTACATCCAGTAAAAGTTTCTGTGATGAAGAGTAGATCTGTGGGTAACGCCGCCGCAGGGCACACAAGGCTGCCTCTGAACTCAGAGCTTTGATATCTGCTCCACAGTACCCTTAAAAACAACCAGACTGCTGGTCACAATTAAGATTCTCAAGAAATACAGTCTGTACATTCAAAGTACAAAGCCTTCTTGTCTAAAAGGAGCACAAGGACAATTTTACCAAGGTGTTTAAAGGTTAATACTTGGTAAATTATTCAAGTTAATCTTCCTTAAACTTCATTGTTCGTGAAACAAAAGTAAAAAGAAAACTCTCTCTCAGATGATGAGCAGAATGTTTTTTATAAATGTGTTCAAACATACCAATACATTTATCTGCAAGTTCCACCAGGAAAGCCTCAGAGGGTGGAGGAGTCCACTGCCTGGTGTGGATCTTCAGAATCTCCTTTCTTGCCTACATGAGAACATAAACATTCATGTTCAGAAACAGGTCAATTATTAATCATAAAGTCACTTGTGACCAGCAGGTGACTCACGCAACGAGACAGTCAACAACAAGAAGTGTCAACTCCAGCAGAAAACGCTATTGGCTACTTCATTGTATGCAATGAGCGCTGCTTCATGCTATTTAATTAAAAATATAATAACTTTAACCTCTCTGTCAGGCAGGCCAAACAGGAACTCTCTGTCGAAGCGTCCGGGTCTTCTCAGAGCTGGGTCGATGGAGTCCAGTCTGTTTGTGGCTCCAATAACGACAACTTCTCCTCTGCTGTCCAATCCATCCATTAGAGCCAGGAGAGTCGACACGATCGAACTGGACAGAGACGGGAAAATATATGTACAGGTCAACACCAGCCCCACTGTAACAATAAAGGACAGGGACTGGATTTAAATTGACTTGCCGACCTATGAATCTGGTCCTGGCGGCTGGATCGAACCGGTGCCAAACCATCAATCTCATCAAAGAAGATGATGGACGGACGCATTTGATGAGCCTAAAAACAAAACCGTAACAAGCCATTACAGAAATACTTTCAGACCTGCCAAGAGTAATATAAGGGTGTGATTTTAGTTGATTGTAAACAGTAGTCTGTGTTATATAAGATTTCTTAATTTGTAGGTGATTATTTTCTGCTAATTAAATATTAGTTTCTGTAGGAGAGTATAAAAATACATCTTCAATAATCACGTAAAGGAACATAGTATAAGGAATTGATTTTACCTGATCAAACAGGAGTCGTAATTGTCTTTCTGATTCTCCCACCCATTTACTGAGGCAGTCAGCTCCTTTTCTCATGAAGAATGCCACCTTTCTTTCTCCCTGACTGCACTCATTGGCCAGTGCTCTGGCTACCAGGGTTTTCCCAGTGCCCGGAGGACCGTAGAAAAGACAGCCCCTGAAAACAAGAGACAGAAAAAGGGATGATGTCTGAGGCAGATGTAAGACAAAGAGAAGATTCTCTAGGCAAGCAGAGGAGAAAAACAAATATTTCTGAGGATGACAGTAAGACACATAAAAGCTTCTGAAAGTAAAGTATTTTAATATTAAGTGGAATTTACTTTTATAGCACCTTTCGAGCCAACTAAGCTACTCAAAGTGCTTTCTAACATACAGTCATATGAAAAAGTTTGTTAATTTTGATAGATTGGATAAAAAAATCAGTTAAATATATCATATAGGAGACAAACACAGTGATATTTGAGAAGTGAAATGAAGTTTATATGATTTACAGAAAGTGTGCAATAATTGGTTAAACAAAATTTAAAACCCTAATGGCTTGAGACTGCTCTAGGAGACCATGTTTCAAATGTTTTTGTAGTTTATCATAGGGCTGCGCGGTACGTATATGCAATAGACGGTAAAAACGGTATGAAGTTGGCCTAAGGTAGAAATTTACCCTCTACCGTCCTAACGTCATTACATCATCGCACCTGTGTCAGCATGGCTGTGAGTGCAGAGACAACTGAGCAGGAGTTTGAAATATAATGAAGAAATTCTAACGTTTAAAAACATGTATAGAGAGAACAAATCCTCAAAATTTCCTCCTCCTGCTGTAGAAAAGTTACGTAGTGTCGCGGGATCATTTCCTCCCTCTCATTGCACGTTGGGCAGAGCGAAGCTTTAACAACTGTAGTTTTTCACACCCAATTGTCGGAGAAAAAAATGTTTATGTATTGTTACCCACAAAGATTATTTAAATAAAGACGTGGACGTTGTTCAGTCATAAATCCATCTTGTAAAGTCGGCTTCTGCTCTGATGATGAAGATGATGAAGATGAGCGCGCAGCAGAGCAGCAGCTGATAAGTTTAGCAGGCAGAAGCTCATTGTTTGGCAGGCAGATATTAAAGCAAAAATGTTGGGTTTAATTAAGATTAGTTTTCTGCAAAAAAATTAAAAATAAAATAAAACTCCATTATCTTAACTTTTTATGATAATTTTCTACCACGATATATACCGTTACCGTGAAGGGGTTCAATTTATACCGCGATATGAATCTGAGGTCATACCGCCCAGCCCTAGTTTATCATATCCATAGATGTCAGAGCTCTAGACTAACTTTTTGCACTGGTTGCACCGTTGCGCCTAACATTTTTTCTTAGGCGCACCAGCACTAAAGTTAGGTGCACTCAAATTTTCAACCACGTCACACGTCACAGACTGCAACGAACAATCAGGACAGCTGAGAGAGTCGTTGGTGCTCCCCTGCCCACGCTTCAGGACCTGMACACCACAAGAACCAGGAAACGGGCAGAGGAAATCATGTCAGACTCCACACACCCAGGACATAGCCTCTTTCAACTTCTCCCCTCCAGCAGGCGCCATAGAGCCCCATGCTCAAAAACATCCAGACACAAAAACAGCTTCTTCCCCCAGGCCATCTCCCTGATGAAAAATCCCAAACACTAGACCTCTTAACTAGTGCCTAATGTATATATTATTGTATGTAATCCACAGACTATAATGTTTATACCTTGCTTCCACCATATATGTGTACTGGAGAGACAACATCTGCTGGAAACAAAGTCCTTGTGTGTGTCATCATACAATATGCCAATAAAGCTGATTCTGATTTAACATCAGAGTTTTACAGGTTATCTTTTTAATCACTGTTCATTAAGGCAACATTAACTTGAAAATAATTAGTTACTATAGTGAACATAATGCTCTTTATTCGAACCAGAATTGTAGACATTTAACTTACTGAAAAGTATTTAAAGTGATTCTATAAAATTCTATGTGTAAATGTTTAAGAGCTGAACATATTATAAACATCTTAAACATTTCATGGTTAAATTTTTTTAGACACCTGCCCCTCAGATGAACAACTCCTGTAGTTTGACCCTATGGATCTTTGGCCTTGGATAAA